TAATGGATGCTAGGTGTTAGTAATGGATGCTAGGTGTTAGTAATGGATTCTAGCAACAGAATGTGTTGTTAATGGATGCTAGGTGTTAGTAATGAATGCTAGCAGCAGAATGTATTTGTAATGGATCCTAGCAGCAGAAGGTGTTAGTAATGGATGCTAGATTTTAGTAATGAATAATAGCAGCAGAAGGTGTTAGTAATGGATGCTAGCAGCAGAATGTGTTAGCAATGGATGTACGGCCCAGTACATCACTGGGGCAAAGCTCCCTGCCATCCAGGACCTCTATACCAGGCGGTGTCAGAGGAAGGCCCTCAAAATTGTCAAAGACTCCAGCCACCCTAGTCATAGACTGTTCTCTCTGCTACCGCACGGCAAGCGGTACCGGAGTGCCAAGTCTAGGTCCAAAAGACTTCTCAACAGCTTCTACCCCCAAGCCATAAGACTCCTGAACAGCTAATCATGGCTACCCGGAATATTTGCACTGCCCCCCCACCCCATCCTTTTTACGCTGCTGCTACTCTGTTAAGTATTTATGCATAGTCACTTTAACTCTACCCACATGTACATATTACCTCAACTACCTCAACTAGCCGGTGCCCCCGCACATTGACTATGCAACGGTACCCATTTACATTACATTTTACATTTTAGTCATTTAGCAGACGCTCTTAACCAGAGCGACTTACAGGAGCAATTAGGGTTAAGTGCCTTGCTCAAGGGCACATTAACGTCATTTAGCAGACGCTCTTAGCCAGAGCGACTCACAAATTGGTGCGTTCACCCTATAGCCAGTGGGATAACCACTTTACAATTTGGGGGGGGGGGGGGGGGGGGGGGGGGGGGTTAGAAGGAATACTTTAGCCTATCCCAGGTATTCCTTAAAGAGGTGGGGTTTCAAATGTCTCCGGAAGGTGGTGAGTGACTCCGCTGTCCTGGCGTCGTGAGGGAGCTTGTTCCACCATTGGGGTGCCAGAGCAGCGAACAGTTTTGACTGGGCTGAGGGGGAGCTGTGCTTCCGCAGAGGAAGGGGAGCCAGCAGGCCAGAGGTGGATGAACGCAATGTCCTCGTTTGGGTGTAGGGACTGATCAGAGCCTGAAGGTACAGGGGTGCCGTTCCCCTCACTGCTCCAAAGGCAAGCACCATGGTCTTGTAGCGGATGCGAGCTTCAATTGGAAGCCAGTGGAGTGTGCGGAGGAGGGGGGTGACGTGAGATGTGACAGGAGTACCCCCCTGTATATATAGCCTCCCTACTGTCACTTTATTTTACTGTATATATAGCCTCCCTACTGTCACTTTATTTTACTTCTGCTCTTTTTTTCTAAACACTTTTTTGTTGTTGTTTTATTCTTACTTTTTTTGTTTAAAATAAATGCACTGTTGGTTAAGGGCTGTAAGTAAGCATTTCACTGTAATGTCTGCACCTGTTGTATTCGGCGCATGTGACCAATAAAATTTGATTTGATTTGATTTGAGATGTTAGTAATGGATGCTAGCAACAGAATGTGTTGTTAGTGGATGCTAGGTGTTAGTAATGGATGCTAGCAAAAGAAGGTGTTAGTAATGGATGCTAGGTGTTAGAAATGGATGCTAGGTGTTAGTGATGGATGCTAGCAGCAGAAGGTGTTAGTAATGGATTCTAGCAGCAGAAGGTGTTAGTAATGGATGCTAGGTGTTAGTAATGGATTCTAGCAGCAGAAGGTGTTAGTAATGGATGCTAGCAGCAGAAGGTGTTAGTAATGGATACTAGCAGCAGAAGGTGTTAGTAATGGATGCTAGGTGTTAGTAATGGAGCTAGCAGGCGAAGGTGTTAGTAATGGATGCTAGCAGCAGAAGGTGTTAGAAATGGATGCTAGGTGTTAGTAATGGATTCTAGCAGCAGAAGGTGTTAGTAATGGATGCTAGCAGCAGAAGGTGTTAGTAATGGATACTAGCAGCAGAAGGTGTTAGTAATGGAGCTAGCAGCAGAAGGTGTTTAGTAATGGATGCTAGGTGTTAGTGATGGATACTAGCAGCAGAAGGTGTAGTAATGGATGCTAGCAGCAGAAGGTGTTAGTAATGGATGCTAGCACAGAAGGTGTAGTAATGGATGCTAGGTGTTAGTAATGGATGCTAGGTGTTAGTAATGGATGTTAGGGGTTGTAAAGGATGCTAGGTGTTTGTAAGATGTAGTAGCAAAGGTGTTTGTGATGGTCTAGGGGGTTAGAAAGGGGCAGGTGTTAGAATGGCTGCTAGTTTTAAATGGTGCTAGGGTTAAATGGCTGCAAAAGTTATAAGGCTCTAGATTTGTAATGGATGCTAGGTTTAGTAATGGAGCGGGGTTTTTGTAAAGGTGCTAGATGTTTGTAATGGTTTTGGTTAGTAATGGCTGCTAATGGAGTGATGGTGCAGGTGTTGTAAGGATGTTGGTGTTTGTAAAGGAGTTTGGGGTTAGTATGGTGCGGGGGTTATAGGGTTTGGTGTTGTAATGGATGCTATTTTTGTAAAGGGTGCTAGGTTTTAGTAATGGGTAGTGTTAGAATGGATGCTGTGTTAGTTGGGTGCTAGGTGTTGTAATGGGTGCTAGCGCAGAAGGGGGTTTTGTGATGGGGGGTTAGGTGGTAAGGATGCGGGGTTAGTAGGGTGCTAGGTGTTAGTAATGGATAGGGGTTTTGTAATGGGCTGGGTTTAATGGATGCTAGGTGTTAGTAATGGAGAGCTGAAGGTAAAGGATGTAGGGGGTTAGAAAAAATGCTACACAGAAAAGGTTATAAGGGTGTAGGTTTGAAAGGATGCTAGGGGTTTTGAAGATGCAGCGCAGAAGGGGTTGTATGGGGGCTAGGTGTTAGTAAGGATGCTAGGTGTTTGTAAGGATCTAGGGGTTTTAAGGACTAGGTGTTTTGTAATGGAGCTAGGTGTTAAATGGATTGTGTTAGTAAAGGTGTAGGTTTGTAATGGATTTTTAGGGGTTAGTAAAGGTGCTAGCCAGAAGGTTTAGTATGGATGGTGTTTAATGGAGTTTGGTTTAGTAAAGTGTTTGTTTAGTAATGGATGTAGGGGTTGTAATGGGCTAGCAGCAAGGTGTTGTGATGGCTAGGGTTAGTAAGGATGTTTGGGGGGGGTTTTGTGGGTGCTAGGTTTTAGTAAAAGGTGTTGGTGTTTTTGTAATGGATGTTTGGATTTAGTAAAGGTGTAATGTTTGTAATGGAGGCCCCGCCCGAAGGGGTTTGTGATGGATCTGGTGTTGTAAAAAAGCTAGGTGTTTGTAATGGCTGCTAGTTGTTAAATGGATGCAGGTGTTAGTAAGGCTGCTAGATGTTTTAATGGGTGCTAGTGTTTTAAAGGATGCTGTGTTAGTAATGGATGCTAGGTGTTGTAATGGATGCTGGTGTTTAATGGATTGGTTTTTTAATGGCTGTAATGTTAGTAATGGTTTAGGGGGTTTGTAATGGCTGTAATTTAGTGATGATCTAGGGGTTAGTAAAAGGATTTTAGGGTTAGTAAAGGATGTTAGGTGTTGTAAAGTATGCTAGGGGCTATAATGGGGTGCTATGTTGTTGTAAAGGGTGTAGGGTTTGAAGGATGAGGTTAGTAATGATGTTAGGTGTTATAATGGATGCTGGTGTTGTAATGGGGTGCTAGGTGTTGTAAAGTGAGGGGTTAGTAAAGGGGCTAGGTGTAAATGGAGCTAGGTTATAAGGATGTAGGGTTTGTAATGGTTGCTAGGGGTTTTTGTAAAGGGCTACAGCAAAGTATTAGTAATGGGTGAGGTGTTAGAAGAAAAGCTAAGCAAAGGGGTTAGTAATGGATGCTAGGTGTTAGTAAGGATCTGGGGTTGAAATGAATTTAGAACAGAAGGTGTTGTAAGGAGGCTGGGGTTTTTAATGGTGCTAGGGGTTGTAATGGTGCTAGGTTGTAATGGATCTAGGTGTTAGTAAAGGAGTTAGGTTTAGTAATGGATGTAGGGTTTTGTAAAGGTGCAGTGTTAGTAAAGGAGCTAGTGTTAGAATGGATGCTAGGTGTTTGAAGGATGCTAGGTGTTAGTAATGGATGCTAGCACAGAAAGGTATTTTATGGTGCTAGGTGTTAGAAAGAAAACAGCAGCAGAAGGTGTTAGTAAAGGAGCTAGGTTTAGTAATGGATCTAGGTGTTTTGAAATGAATGCAGCGCAGAAGGTGTTAGTAATGGAGGCTGGGGTTAGTAATGGATGTTAGGTTTGTGATGGACTAGGTGTTGTAATGGGTGTTAGGTTGTTAGTAAGGAGTTAGGTGTTTGTATGGTGCTAGGTGTAAGGAAAGCTCAGCAGAAAGGGTTTGAGGATGCTAGGGGTTTTGTAATGGATGTGGTTTTTGTAATGGGGTCTAGTTGTTAGTAATGGATGCTAGGTTTAGTAAGGCTGCTAGATTTAGTAAAGGCTGCTAGTTTGTAATGGGTTTTTGGTGTTAGTAATGGAGATTGGGGTTGTAAAGGATGCTAGGGGTTTATGGCTGCTAGATGTTAGTAATGGTTTAGTGTTTTAAGGCTGTAGATGTTTGTATGGATGTAGGTTTGTAATGGGCTAGGGGTTTGTAAAGGATTCTAGGTGTTTGTAATGGGCCGGTGTTAGTATGGGGCTAGGGTTTGTAATGGTCTAGGGGTTAGTAAAGGTGTAGGGTTAGTATGGATTCTAGGGTTATGGATGTTGGGGTTAGTAATGATTAGGTGTTAGTAAAGGGTGCAGGGGGTTTGTAAAGGATGTTAGGTGTTTGTAATTTTTTGGGGTTAGTAATGGGTTAGCAGCGAAAAGGTGTTGGATGGATGCTAGTGTTAGTAAAAGGGTGCTAGGGGTTTTAAAGGGCTAGGTGTTAGTAATGGATGTAGCAGCAGAAGGTATTAGTAATGGAGTAGGGGTTTGAAATGAATGCTAGCGCAGAAGGTTTTAGTAATGATGCTAGGGTTGTAATGGATGCTAGGGTTTGAAATGAATCTAGCAGAAAAGGGGTTATAAAAGGAGGGAGGGGTTGTAATGGGCTAGGGGTTAGTAATGGATGTTAGGTGTTTGTTGGAGCTGAGCAAAGGGGTTGTGATGGATGCTAGGGGTTAGTAATGTAGTTAGGTGTTAGTATGGTTAAGGGGTAGGGTGGAGCTAGCACAGAATTGTTAGTGATGGTGCTAGGTGTTTTTAAAAAATGTTTGGGTTAGTATGGATTTTAGGGGTTTGTAAAGATTTTAGGGTTTAGTAATGGATGTTGGTTTAGTGATGATGTTAGCACGAAATATCCCAGTCCCATCTTTTGAAATGTATTATTAGTGTTCCCGTGAGTAGCGAACCCAGCAGCCTGTTTAAAACCCCAACCCCTACCACACCCCACACAACACACACAACACCACACCCACACCACACACACCCCACCAACAACAAACACACACACACACATACAACACACATCACCCACACACCACACCACACACACCTAACACCCACACATCACACACACAACACCATACCCACACACACACACACACACACACTCTCTCACACAACACACTCACGCACAAACACCAGGATATACGTGAGGGCGCAAAAAGCCTCATCAGGTACCATGTCTCATCCAATGCACTTCATGCTCTTCATCTTCACATCTGCAATACAGAATCATCTCAGGGTGGTTGTGGGGGGTGTGATTCCAGATGAGGGAAGGAGTGTGTGTGTGTGTGTGTGTGTGTGTTCTGTGTGTGTGTGTGTGTGTGTGTGTGTGTGTGTGTGTGTGTGTGTGTGTGTGTGTGTGTGTGTGTGTGTGTGTCTGTGTGTGTCTGTGTGTGTCTGTGTGTGTGTGTGTGTGTGTGTGTGTGTGTGTGTGTGTCTGTGTGTGTGTGTGTGTGTGTGTGTGTGTGTGTGTGTGTGTGTGTGTGTGTGTGTGTGTGTGTGTGTGTGTGTGTGTGTGTGTGTGTGTGTGTGTGTGTGTGTGTGTAACCAATATGGAAAATGTTTGCACTCACTAACTGTAAGTCGCTCTGGATAAGAGCGTCTGCTAAATGACTAAAATGTTAAATGTAATGTAAATGTGTGTGTGTGTCTGAGTGCCTGTGTGTGTGTCTATGTGCCTGTGTGTGTGTGTGTGTATGCATTTGTGTTTGTGTGTGTGTGGCCTACATACAATTTTAATCTAACTTTTCCTAGACAGTCTTTCTTCAGCCCCTATCTGTGTAACTTCTAGCTAGGGGAGATGGAATGCAGCTAGCTTTGACATGGGTGGGGAATGGATGTTGTCAGATGTCCTGCTGATCACTAAACTTGATATCTCTTCTCTCCTCTGTCGTCTTGTGATTTACAGGTATAATGGGAGAATATGAGCCTAAAATCGAGGTGCATTTCCCCCCATCTGTCCTGGCTGCCAGAGGAGTCACGGTGAGGCTGGAGTGTTTTGCCCTGGGGAAGTAAGTACAGAAACATGCATGATGTATTATACCCATGAACATCCATGTTCATCATTTATGGTGAAACGTAGGGTTACAGATTTCATGTAACTTTCCTAAAATTCCCCAGTTTTCCAGAAATCCCAGTTGGAAGATTCCTGGAATGGGAAGGAATAAAAAGTAAATCCAGGAATTCTCCAATCGGCATTGCGGGAATACCTGGGAAATGTGGGATCGTTACACTAAGTAAAATGCCACCAGTAGATGCATTTCCTATCATCCCTTATTCAACATCTAGATGCATTGACTATCATAGATTAATTCACTATGATCCCTTATTCATCACTAGCTACAACCACCAGTAGATCTATTGATTACAATCCCTTATTCATCACTAGCAACAACCACCAGTAGATCTATTGATTACAATCCTTTATTCAACACTAGCTACAACCACCAGTAGATCTATTGATTACAATCCTTTATTCAACACTAGCTACAACCACCAGTAGATCTATTGATTACAATCCCTTATTCATCACTAGCTACAACCACCAGTAGATCTATTGATTACAATCCCTTATTCATCCCTAGCAACAACCACCGGTAGATCTATTGATTACAATCCCTTATTCATCACTAGCTACAAACACCAGTAGATCTATTGATTACAATCCCTTATTCATCACGAGCAACAACCACCGGTAGATCTATTGATTACAATCCCTTATTCATCACTAGCTACAACCACCAGTAGATCTATTGATTACAATCCCTTATTCAACACTAGCAACAACCACCAGTAGATCTATTGACTATCATCCGTAAAGCAACACTAGCAACAACCAACAGCTGATCAAATCAAATCAAATTGTATTTACTACCTGCGCCGAATTCAACAGGTGTAGAACATACAGAACATACAGTGAAATGCTGACTGACAAGCCCTTAACCAACAGTGCAGTTTTAAGAAACCAATAAATAAATAAATGTTAAGAAAAAAATAGATGAGTAAAACATAAAAATAACGAATAATTAAAGAGCTGCAATAAAATAAAATAACAGTAGGGAGGCTATATACAGGGGGTACCGGTACAGAGTCAATATACAGGCTATATACAGGGGGTACCGGTACAGAGTCAATATACAGGGGGTACCGGTACAGAGTCAATATACAGGCTATATACAGGGTGTACCGGTACAGAGTCAATATACAGGCTATATACAGGGGGTACCGGTACAGAGTCAATATACAGGCTATATACAGGGGGTACCGGTACAGAGTCAATATACAGGCTATATACAGGGGGTACCGGTACAGAGTCAATATACAGGCTATATACAGGGGGTACCGGTACAGAGTCAATATACAGGCTATATACAGGGGGTACCGGTACAGAGTCAATATACAGGCTATATACAGGGGGTACCGGTACGAGTCAATATACAGGGGGTACGGTACAGAGTCAATATACAGGCTATATACAGGGGGTACCGGTACAGAGTCAATATACAGGCTATATACAGGGGGTACCGGTACAGAGTCAATATACAGGGGGGACCGGTACAGAGTCAATATACAGGCTATATACAGGGGGTACCGGTACAGAGTCAATATACAGGCTATATACAGGGGGTACCGGTACAGAGTCAATATACAGGCTATATACAGGGGGTACCGGTACAGAGTCAATATACAGGCTATATACAGGGGGTACCGGTACAGAGTCAATATAAAGGCTATATACAGGGGGTACCGGTACAGAGTCAATATACAGGCTATATACAGGGGGTACCGATACAGAGTCAATGTGCGGGGGCACAGGTTAGTCGAGGTAATTGAGTTAATATGTACATGTGGGTAGAGTTAAAGTGACTATGCATAAATAATTAACAGAGTAGCAGCAGCGTAAAAGAGGGGGTGGGGGTGGCAATGCAAATACTCTGGGTAGCCATGATTAGCTGTTCAGGAGTCTTATGGCTTGGGGGTAGAAGCTGTTAAAAAGCCTTTTGGACCTAGACTTGGCGCTCCGGTACCACTTGCTGTGCGGTAGCAGAGAGAACAGTCTATGACTAGGGTGGCTGGAGTCTTTGACAATTTTTAGGGCCTTCCTCTGACACCGCCTGGTATAGAGGTCCTGGATGGCAGGAAGCTTGGCCCCAGTGATGTACTGGGCTATACGCACTACCCTCTGTTGTGCCTTGCGGTCAGAGGCCGAGCGGTTGCCATAACAGGCGGTGATGCAACCAGTCAGGATGCTCTTGATGGTGCAGCTGTAGAACTTTTTGAGGATCTGAGGACCCATGCCAAATCTTTTCAGTCTCCTGAGGGGGAATAGGCTTTGTCGTGCCCTCTTCAGGACTGTCTTGGTGTGTTTGGACCATGATGTGGACACCAAGAAACCTGAAGCTCTCAACCTGTTCCACTACAGCCCCGTCGATGACAATGGGTGCGTGCTCAGTCCTCTTTTTTTTCCAGTAATCCACAATCATCTCCTTTGTCTTGATCACGTTGTGGGAGAGGTTGTTATCCTGGCACCACACAGCCAGGTCTCTGTGATCAGGCCTACCACTGTTGTGTCATCTGCAAACTAAATGATGGTGTTGGAGTCATGCCTGGCCATACAGTCATGGGTGAACAGGGTGTACAGGAGGGGAATGAGCACGCACCCCTGAGGGGCCCCCGTGTTGACGATCAGCGTGGCAGATGTGTTGTTACATACCCTTACCACCTGGGGGCGGCCCGTCAGGAAGTCCATGATCCAGTTGCAGATGGAGGTGTTTAGTTCTAGGGTCCTTAGCTTAGTGATGAGCTTTGAGGGCACTATGGTGTTGAACGCTGAGCTGTAGTCAATGAATAGCATTCTCACGTAGGTGTTCCTCTTGTCTAGGTGGGAAAGGGCAGTGTGGAATGCAATAGAGATGGCATCATCTGTGGATCTGTTGGGACGGTATGCAAATTGTTGTGGGTCTAGGGTTTCTGGGATAATGGTGTTGATGTGAGCCATGACCAGCCTTTCAAAGCACTTCATGGCTACAGACGTCAGTGCTACAGGTCGGTAGTCATTTAGGCAGGTTATCTTAGTGTTCTTGGGCACAGGGACTATGGTGGTCTGCTTGAAATATGTTGGTATTACAGACTCAGTCAGGGACATGTTGAAAATGTCAGTGAAGACACTTGCCAGTTGGTCAGCGAATGCTCGGAGTACACGTCCTGGTAATCTGTCTGGCCCTGCGGCCTTGTGAGGCAAGCAACACCGAAGCATGCATGAGAGCACCAGCTGTTCCGGACGACTGTGAGATCACGCTCTCCGTAGCCGATGTGAGCAAGACCATTAAACAGGTCAACATTCACTGACATTTTCAACCTCTCCCTGACCGAGTCTGTAATACCTACATGTTTCAAGCAGACCAACCATAGTCCCTGTGCCCAAGAAAGCGAAGGTAACCTGCCTAAATTACTACCGCCCCGTAGCACTCACGTCGGTAGCCATGAAGTGCTTTGAAAGGCTGGCCAGACACCTGACAGTGTGGTGCCAGGACAACAACCTCTCCCTAAATGTTAGCAAGACAAAGGAGGTGATCGTGGACTACAGGAAAAGGAGGGTCGAACAGGCCCACATTAACATCGACAGGGCTTCAGTGGAGTGGGTAGAGAGTTTCAAGTTCCTTGGTGTCCACATCAGCAACAAACTATCATGGTCCAAACACACCAAGACAGTCATGAAGAAGGCACGTCAACACCTTTTCTCACTCAAGAGACTGAAAAGATTTGGCATGGGTCATCAGATCCTCAAAAAGTTATACAGCTGCACCATCAAGAGCATCCTGACTGGTTGCATCACCGCCTGGTATGGCAACTGCTCGGCATCCGACTGTAAGGCGCTACAGAGGATAGTGCGTACGGCCCAGTACATCACTGGGGCCAAGCTTCCTGCCATCCAGGACCTATATACTAGGCGGTGTCAGAGGAAGGCCCTCAAAATTGTCAAAAACTCCAACCACCCTAGTCATAGACTGTTCTCTCTGCTACCGCACGGCAAGCGATACTGGAGCACCAAGTCTAGGTCCAAAAGGCTCCATAACAGCTTCTACCCCCAAGCCATAAGACTGCTGAAAAATTAATCAAATGACCACCCGGACTATTTACATTGACAGACATCCCTTCACTACCTTAATGCCAATGGTGATCAGACAGCCCTTCACTACATTTTAGTCATTTAGCAGACGCTCTTATCCAGAGCGACTTACAGTCTTTTTTTTTTTTTGTTCAAACTAGCCCCCCGTGGGAATCGAACCCACAACCCTGGCGATGCAAGTGCCATGCTCTACCAACTGAGCTACACGGGACTACCTTGATGTGTATGGTGATCAGACATCCCTTCACTACCCCAATGTTTCTGAATTCTCAGGCAGCACAGTATAGTTAGGTGAAATAGTTAAATAAAATGTTCTGCAAACTCAACAACAACTTGCCATAGTTTTTATGTTATTTCTGAAATAGTCAGTCCTCTGAATACTATGTGAAAGTCAGAGTCACAGCAAAACATTTTGGCATCACCTCAAATAACATTTCATCTAATTTGCCATGGCTCTGCTGTGGCCTAATTTCAAAAAGTTTCAAATCAAACAGCAAATAAGGGCATTATTATCACCATAAAAGGTAAATATGACATATTGAATTGTTTTAAGATGGTCATACTATGGATCATTTAGCTATTTGATTTGGAATTTTAGGACCCCTTTAGGTATAAAAAAATACATTAAAAAAGGATTTAATAAAATATTCAATTTGGCCTTACTACTAAAGCCAAGAGAAACACTTTGAATAACACATTCATCAATGGCCAAAAAGACAGTCAAAAACATAATCATAAGAAACAAGGTTTTGAAATGTCTGTCCTATATCTAGGAGAAGAAAAGCTCAGGATATATATATATATTGACACATATTTAACACCTTTTTGGGGTAGACACAAAACTACCTTCATACTTCCATTCATTTTTTAAAACCGGCACCAGTTACCTTCAGACGAGTCCTATTACAGTCCTATGTTGGGGTCGTAGAGCAAAACGGAGAACACCATCGTGTTCATGAGAGTCTCCCCTTTCCACAGTGGGGTCACATTAGTTTGTAGCCCAAACGGTTTGGACGCTACAAACAGAAGTTGGCACATCAACAGTATCGACTTCAGACGATTCCCCTGATGCTTGTGGGGGTCGTAGAGCAAAACGGAGAACACCATCGTGTTCGTGAGAGTCTCCCCTTTCCATGGTTTTTATGTCAAAACGTTCGGACGCTACAGACTTTTTCTTGAGAAGAACGATTTTTCGGCATGTCTGCATGTCTCACGGTCTGACATACACCGCTCTAGCTCTGCCACTTTTCACCGCAGAAGCAGAAGGGCGACACTGGAGGATGAAGTGGATTGCAATAAACATATATCTCTAGTTTAAACGGACAGATTTTGATGGGGATTTTTTTGTTATGTAACTTAGATTGATTCAAGAGGGTTAACTCAGCGGTTCCCAAACACAGGTGTCGCGACCACAATTAGGGGTCACCTGATATGGAAATAGGGTCACAGAAGAATTTCCAAAATCCTGGTAAAAAATAAATATGTATATTAAAAATATAATAATATCGTCTTTGTCTCTCAAAAACATTGTAATGTGATTAACCTTAAAAATCTAAATCTAAATTATTCAAATCTAAAAGTTGTAATTCAACCAGAGAACGCCATTAGATTGTGGGAAAAGGCCACACTTGACCTTTGCACTTGAATCATTCCCACAGTGAATTGCTAGGTTAGGTGAATTGCAATGTGCGGGGAGGCAGAGCCACAGAAACTCACATCAAAACCTTTGTCACATAACACTATAAAACTAAGACTTGATGCTCAGTTGATAGAGCATGGCGTTTGCAACGGCAGGGTTGTGGGTTCGATTCCCATGGGGGGCCAGTATAAAATAATATGTATTCACTAACTGTAAGTCGCTCTGGATAAGAGCGTCTGCTAAATGACTAAAATGTAAATGTAAATGTAATGCTATACGTAGCGATCAAGAGGAAACTCTGACTGAACGACTCAAACTCCCCAGCTTATGCTCTCCAAATGGACGTTAGCTGTGAGGGCCGAGATGCCCATGCATTGACTTTTATTCGCTACATGTCGGGGGATGCTATTCACGAAGACATATTGTTCTGTCTCACGATTCCCGAGCATGAAACGGCACAGGGGATGTTCAGTGTGCTGCGTGGCTATATTCACAAAAAACAGATTGAAGCTCAGAACTCGGAAACATGCAACAGGTAACTTTGATTGTAAACTACATCGTGCACGCCTGTTCGCCTGTTCGCCTGTTCGCCTGTTCGCCTGTTCGCCTGTTCGCCTGTTCGCCTGTTCGCCTGATACGGGAGAACAGCATGACAGTGTTCTACTTCACACAGAGGCTTGGTGGGTATCGAGGGGGATTGTTGGAAAGAGAGGAACTGTTGTCATTTGCAATGGATAAAAAATAAAAATAAAAGACTGTTGACTTTCTGTGTAATGAAAATAAATTGTGTGTCTCCTTGCCTATGTAACAAATATATTTGGGAAACTGAACGAACTGAATGAAGCATGCAGGGGAAATACAAATCTAGAGATGAGTGACCGAATCAGCTAAATCTGTTAGACTATGATTCTGGCTCAGTTGACATGCTGGGGCCCCGGGACCACCCATATGTAACAATGTAACATGAATGTAAGTCGCTTTGAATAAAAGTGTCTGCTAAATGGCATATTATTATATTATTATTACATGCCGGTAAGTGAAATCAAACAGCTGATCGAGCTGTCATGTGAACGAATGCTGCAGACAACACATTCACAGGTTACTATGGAGGAGTTTTGGTTCCTGTCCCAAAGGAAATGCTGTGCCGTCTCCCTCCGACAGTACTACTCATGGTACGCTGATTCAGTGCTCTCGTCTGCATTAAAATATATCGATCCAGGTTGGATCTGATAGGAGAGATGAGGTGCGTGCTGTCGACCATGCCCCCTGACTTTGAGAAGCTTTGACGCGTCATGCATCAAGCCACACCCATCTCATTAGTGGGGGTGAGATAAGATACATTATGTCAGACTCATTTGTAATTGACTTTCATAGACCCACATTAAAAGTATATGATGGTGAGTTGAGAATACAATTGGAAATAATGTTAGAATGTTTTACGATTGACTGCCATAGCCCCAATTATACAAGTAAACATTGGCTGTTAATGACTTATTTTTTTGCTCTCATGGTTTGGGTCCCGAGAATTTTCAAATATCAAAATGGGGTCGTGAGGTTTGGGAACCTCTGGCCTATGGTGGCCAGACATCCCTTCATTACCTTGATGTCTATGGTGGTCAGACATCCCTTCATTACCTTGATGTCTATGGTGGTCAGACATCCCTTCATTACCTTGATGTCTATGGTGGTCAGACATCCCTTCATTACCTTGATGTCTATGGTGGTCAGACATCCCTTAATTACCTTGATGTCTATGGTGGTCAGACATCCCTTCATTACCTTGATGTCTATGGTGGTCAGACATCCCTTCATTACCTTGATGTCTATGGTGGTCAGACATCCCTTCATTACCTTGATGTCTATGGTGGTCAGACATCCCTTCATTACCTTGATGTCTATGGTGGTCAGACATCCCTTCATTACCTTGATGTCTATGGTGGTCAGACATCCCTTCATTACCTTGATGTCTATGGTGGTCAGACATCCCTTCATTACCTTGATGTCTATGGTGGTCAGACATCCCTTCATTACCTTGATGTCTATGGTGGTCAGACATCCCTTCATTACCTTGATGTCTATGGTGGTCAGACATCCCTTCATTACCTTGATGTCTATGGTGGTCAGACATCCCTTCATTACCTTGATGTCTATGGTGGTCAGACATCCCTTCATTACCTTGATGTCTATGGTGGTCAGACATCCCTTCATTACCCTTGATGTCCTATGGTGGTCAGACATCCCTTCATTACCTTGATGTCTATGGTGGTCAGACATCCCTTCATTACCTTGATGTCTATGGTGGTCAGACATCCCTTCATTACCTTGATGTCTATGGTGGTCAGACATCCCTTCATTACCTTGATGTCTATGGTGGGTCAGACATCCCTTCATTACCTTGATGTCTATGGTGGTCAGACATCCCTTCATTACCTTGATGTCTATGGTGGTCAGACATCCCTTCATTACCTTGATGTCTATGGTGGTCAGACATCCCTTCATTACCTTGATGTCTATGGTGGTCAGACATCCCTCATTACCTTGATGTCTATGGTGGTCAGACATCCCTTCATTACCTTGATGTCTATGGTGGTCAGACATCCCTTCATTACCTTGATGTCTATGGTGGCCAGGACATCCCTTCATTACCTTGATGCCTATGGTGTCAGAAATCCCTTCATTACCTTGATGTCTATGGTGGCCAGACATCCCTTCATTACCTTGATGTCTATGGTGGTCAGACATCCCTTCACTACCTTGATGTCTATGGTGGTCAGGAGTGAGCTGTAAAGGCTGTGGTTAGCTCTGAACGTGCTCTGAATCTAACTCAGAGACCATGGCAACTGGGAGTCTGAGCGATATTAAAATGTCTTTGTGAATTTGGAAGTGATAAAAAAGCTATGGAACATTTTCATCTGGGCTGAGTGATGGACGGGAGCGCCGGGGGTTTCCAGGGGTGTCAGATTTCCATCTTTCTGAGAGCTGTCAAACGGAGCTGTCAAACACAGAGCCTTGCTGATATAGTGTAGTACGATGTTCTCCTGCTACATGTTCAACCCATCTGTCATGGACGTTCTCCTGTTACATATTCAACCCATCTGTCATGGACGTTCTCCTGCTACGTGTTCAACCCATCTGTCATGGACGTTCTCCTGCTACATATTCAACCCATCTGTCATGGACGTTCTCCTGCTACATATTCAACCCATCTGTCATGGACGTTCTCCTGTTACATATTCAACCCATCTGTCATGGACGTTCTCCTGTTACATATTCAACCCATCTGTCATGGACGTTCTCCTGCTACATGTTCAACCCATCTGTCATGGACGTTCTCCTGCTACATGTTCAACCCATCTGTCATGGACGTTCTCCTGCTACATGTTCAACCCATCTGTCATGGAGAGAGCAGAGCAGGCACAGGGGCATAGCGGAGCATCAACAAACTGATGATGAACAGTCACGCTCACATACACTAATCATATAAATCATGATCATTAGTTGGGCTGGTAACCTGATCTGAATATATCATGTAGTCAATTACATCATTCTCAGTTGGAGGTCATTTGGGCAGAGAGCGACTCAGAGATACAAATTCACTCTGGATTATGGCACAGTAAATTATTTAGAGATGTTTTATTGTGTGGATGGACACAAATCACAGTCACGTATTATGTATCAGTTTATATAGCCAGGATAGATCTGTGTACAACGTGGAATTGAACCCCCGACTTTCCACATTCCTCCTCCGCTAGTCCTTTACTGTATTATGGTTGTAAATGTATCCACTTGTCTGGCTGGAATTGTGTGTAGCAACAATCAACTCTCTGCTCTCCTTGTCCTCACTATCACCCATGTATTATGTATGAGTTTACATAGTGTAGATATTATCGGCAGGATGCAAAAGTGTAGTATTATAACCCTCTCCACTCTCCTCCTCCAAGTCCCGTCCCAACCATAACATGGAGGAAGATGAACGGTAACATCCCTAAGAAGGCTCGTCTGAGGAAGTCCCAGGCTGTTCTGGAGATCCCTGATGTCCAGCTGGAGGACGCGGGGACCTACGAGTGTAAAGCGGAGAACCCCAGAGGAGGAACACCATTCAAGGGACACCTCCAGATCTACAGTAAGTTATGGAGGGATGGACTGGAGCTACATTGGGTTGTTTTTCTGATAGTTTGTTTTCTCATCTTTGACTGTGGTGTTAATCTGTGACTGTGGTGTTAATCTGTGACTGTGGTGTTAATCTGTGACTGTGGTATTGGGACCTCCTATGAGTGTAAAGCACAGAACCCCAGGGGAGGAACAGCCTTACATTTACATCACAGTTTAGTCATTTAGCAGACGGTCTTATCCAGAGTGCCTTACAATTAGCACATTCATTTTATAATTTTTAGGTAAGACAACAACACATCACAATCATATCAAGGACATTTTCCCTCAATAAAGTAGTTATCAGCAAAGTCAGTGCCAGTAGGAAAAGACTAGTGCCTTCAAGCGAAGGGAGTTCAATATAATCTGCTTCGGGAATATATATATATTTAATGTTCAATTTTGGTGGTCAATGACCTGCAGCGCCTGATAACTCAGTCCTGTCTGTTCTGATCTGGGTGACTTAGATCAAGTGGGAACTATGTCATAAATGCAGGATATTGTCTTGGATAAAGAAACATTGTGCCACATGTTTTAAAGTGAGTACCGTGGTGTTACTGAACCTGGTGTTACTGTGGTGTTACTGTGGTGTTACTGTGGTGTTACTGTGGTGTTACTGTGGTGTTACTGAACCTGGTGTTACTGACCCGGTGTTATTGTGGTGTTACTGTGGTGTTATTGTGGTGTTACTGTGTTGTTATTGTGGTGTTACTGTGGTGTTACTGTGGTGTTACTGAACCTGGTGTTACTGTGGTGTTACTGTGGTTTTACTGTGGGGTTTGGGGGTTATACTAACCTGGTTTTTACCCGTGGGGGTTTTCTGTGGTTTTTTTTGTGGTTTTTCCCGTGGTGTTTAAATGTGGTTTTTCTGTTTTTTTTCTGGGGGGGTTACTGTGGTTTTGCTGTGGTTTTCCGTGGTGTTTCTGTGGTTTTACTGTGGGTTCCCCAACCCCTTTTTTGGGTGTTTTTTTGGTGGTTTTTACTGTTTTGGTTTTTCTGTGGGGGTTTTTCTTTTTGTTTTTCCTGGTTGGACTGTGGTGTTTTTTTCGGGTTTTGTTTACTGAGCCTGGTGGGTTTCTGTGGTGTTTTCGTGGTGGGTTTCGAACCTGGGTTTTGGCTGTGGTGTTTCTGTGGTTTTGCTGTTGGGGTTTTCTGTGGTGTTTCTGTTTGGTTTTAAATGTGGGGTTCGGGCCCTTTTTGTTACTGTGTTTTTTTACTGTGGGGGTTTCTGTTGTGGGTTTCTGAGCCTGGGGTTTTTCTGTGGTGTTACTGTGGTGTTAAGTGCTTTTACTGTGGTGGGTTTCTGGGTTTTTACATGGTTTTTAAATGGGGGTAACTGTGGGGTTACGGGGGTGTTCCCGCCCTGGTTTTTACTGGGGGGGGGGGGGTTTTTTTGTGGGGGGTTTTTGGGGGTTTTTACTTGTGTTTGTTTTGTGGTGTTCCCGTGGGGTTACTGTGGTTTTCCCGCCCCCGGTTTCCCTTTTGTTTTCTGGGTGTTTCTGGGGGTTTTACCCGTGGGTGATACTGAACCTGGGGTTTACTGGGGTGTTAATGTGTGTTCCCCGGGTTTACTGAACCCCGGTTTTATTTTTGTTTTTATGTGGTTTTTCTGTTGGGTTACTCTGGGGTTTTTTTGTGGTTTTTCTTGGTTTTCTGACCCCGGGTTTTACTGTTTTGTTCCTGTGGTGTTTTACTGTTTTGTTACTGAGCCTGGTGTTTTTGGTGGTGTTACTGTTTTTGTTTACTTCTTTTTTCTGGTTGTTACTGTGGGGGGACTATGGGGTTCTGTGGTGATACTTTTGGGGCTCTTGGGGTTTTTACGACCCCCTTTGTTACTGTGGGTTTCCCGTGGTGTTTCTATGGGGTTTACTGGGGCTTTTACTTTTGGGGTTAACGGGTGTTTTCTGACCCCGGTGTTAACCCGTGGTTTTTTGCTGTGGTGTTACTGACCCCCGGTGGGAAATGTAGTGTTGCTGGTGTTTTCTATGGTGTTACTGTGGGGAAAAATGTGGGGGTTTCTTGGGATTTTTTGACCCCCGGTGGTTTTTGTAAATGGTTTGGGTGTGATTTACATGGTGTTACCCACTGTGGGGGTTAAAACCCGGGTTTTTTACTGGGTGTTACTGTTTTTGTTTTTGGGTGTTACTGTTTTTTTACTGACACTGGGGTTGCCCGTGGTGTTAAAGACCCCCCGGTGTTAAACCGTGCCCGTTTTTCTTTGCTGTTACGGGGGCTTACGGGGGGTGTTTCTGTGGTGTTTACTTTTGTTTCCCGTTTTTACTGACCCCCGGTGTTTTGTTGGGGTTTCTGTGGTGTTACTTTGCCCTGGTGTTTACTGTGTTTTTTACTGACCCTGGGGGTTAAATGACCCTGGTTTTTAAATGTTCCCGATGGTACTGTTGGGGGTTACTGTTGGGGTTACTCTCAATTTACCGGGGATCTTCTTTGGGGGTTTCTGTGGGGTTACTGACCCCGGTGTTTTCGGGGGGGTTAAATGCCCCCGGTGTTTCTGTTGGGGGTTCTTTTTGTTCCCGGAACCCCGGGTTTTCTTTTTTGTTAAATAAAACCTGGGGTTACTGAGGGCCCGGGTTTTTACTGTGGTGTTAATGTGGGGTTACCTTGGGGCCCTTTTGTTACCCGTTTGGGTTTTCGTTGGGGTTAACGACCCCCGGTGTTTCGTCCCTTTTAAGGGTTCGTGGTGGGTTTCCCCGGGGGTTTACTGAACCTGGCCTTCTTGGGGGCTGCTCTTTTGGGGGTTACTGTTGTGGTGACTGAACCTTGGGGTTAAAGTGGTTTATGGGTTTTTTTTTTGGGGTTACTCTGTTTGGGTTTCTTGGGGGTTTTTCCCGTTTTTTGTTCCTTGGGCCCCCTTTTTTCTTTTTTTTATTACTGTTTGGGGGTTACTGTTGTGTTTTTCCCGAGCCTGGTGTTACTGTTTGGGGTTACTGGGTGTTACGGGGCTTTTTTCTGGGTGTTACTGACCCTGGGGGGACTGTGGTTTTTCTTTTTTTTTATTTGGGGTTTTACGGGGTTTTTTTATTGTGGTGTTTCTGTTTGGTTTTTAACTGTTTTGTTAAAAAAAACCCGGGGGTTTTTTCTTTTTGTTTTTTCTTTTTTTTTCCCGTTGGGGGTTTTTTCCGGGGTTTCCTGAACCTGGTTTTTAAATGTGGTTTACCGTGGGGTTACGGGATGTTTTCTGAACCTTGGGGTTTTCTGTGGTTGTTCTACTGTGGTTTTTGGGGGTGGGGTTTACTTGTGGGGTTACTGTTGGGTTTTTTTTTGTGGGTTCTGACCCTGGGGGGTTTCTGGGGTTGTTTTCTGGGTGGGTTACGTTGTGTTTTCTGACCCCGGTTTTTACCCGTGGGTTACTTGTGGGGGGTTTCTGTGGGGTTTTCTGTGCTTTAAAATGTGGTTTACTTGGTGTTTTCCCATTGGGGTTACTGTGGGTTTAAAATGTGGGGTTTCGGGGTGTTCCTTTCCCCGGTGTTACGGGGGTGTTTTCTGTGGTGTTACTTATGGGGGTTACTGGGGCTTTTCTGTGGGTTTTTTAAATGTGGTGTTTTTCGAAACCCTTTTGGGGTTACTGGGGGGGTGGGGTGGTTTACTGACCCTGGTGTTACTGTGTGGTTTGGTTTTTTTTCTAAAGGGTTTTCTGTTTTTTGATAAAATTTTGGGGTTTCGGGGTTTTTTTTCCCGACCCTGGGGGTTAAAATGTAGTGTTTTTTGTGAAAGTTACAGGTGTTTTTTGGGGTGTTTCCCCTGGTTTTTTTGACTGTGGTGTTACTGTTGGGTTACTGTGGGGGTTTACGTGGTTTACTGTTGTGTTACGGGCACTGGGGTTCTTGGTGTTAATGCCCCCGGTGTTTAACCCCCCCTGTTTACTGGTTTCTGGGTTTCTGTACTGCTACTGTGGGTTTTACTGTGGTGTTCCCGTTTTTGTTACTTTTGGGTTTTTACTGACCCTGGGGTTAATGGGGTGGTTTCTGTTTGTTTACTGTGTGTTTTCGGGCCCTGGTGTTACCCGTGGTGTTACTGACCCTTTTGGGGTTTTTGCCCGGTGGGACTTTTTTCCCGAGGTACTGTGGTGTTTCGGGGGGGTTTACCCTGGGGATTACTGTTCCCGGGTTTTTTTGGTGTTCTGTGGTGTTTTACGACCCTGGGGTTACTGGGGGGGTTTTCTAAACCCCGGTGTTACTGGTTTGGGGTTCCCAAACCCGGGTTTCTGGGGGTCGGTGTTAAATGTGGTGTTAAAAGTGGGTTTTCTTGGGGCCCGGGGTTTTTCTTGGTGTTACTGTGGTGGTTTCAAAACCCTTGGTGTTACCCGTTTCCTTTGGAGGGTTTTGGGGGTTTTCTGTGGGGTTACTCTGGCTACCCGTCTGCTTTTTTTGGGGGTTTCTGTGGGGGTTACCCGACCCTGGGGTTTTTCGGGGGTGTTCGTATGTTCCCTGTGGTGTTACAGAACCCGGTGTTTTCTTTAACCTGGGGGGGGCTGTGGTGTTTTTGTGGTGTTTTGTGGTTTTACTTGGGGGGCATTTGGGTGTTTTCGGGGGGTTCTGGTGTTAACCCCGTGGGGTTTACTGTGGTTTTCTGAAAAACCCGGGGGTTCTGTGGTGTTACTGTGGTTTTTCTGTGGGTTTTCTTTGGGGGATACGGGAAAACCCGGTGTTACTGTGGTGTTCCCGTGGTGTTTTCTTAAACCTTTGGGGTTTCTTTGGGGGGTTACGTGGTTTTGCGGGGGTGTTACTTGGTTTAAGGGGTTTCTGTGGGTTTTTACTGTGGTGGTTTCCCGATCCTGGTGTTACTGGGGTTGTTAAATGTGGGTTACCGTGGGGGTTACTCAAACCTGGGGTTTTTGTTGGGGTTTTCCCTTTTCTTTTACTGTTTGGGGTTTTTTGGGGGTTATATTGGGGTTCCCGTTTTATCCCGGGGGGTTCCCGTGGTTACTGACCCCCTTTTTTACGTGGTTTTTAAAAGGGGGTGTTACTATTGGGGGTTTTCTGGGCTTTTTCTGTGGTTTTTAAATGGGGGGAATTAACTGGGTGGTTTAATGACCCCCCGGGGGG